TTCCACACCAAGGCGATGGACCTAATAGGCCCAATTTCCCCGCACTCAAGAAAGAAGAATTGGATTTTAGTGGCAATGGAGGTCTGCACTAAATGGGTAGAGGCGGCCCCCTCCCAATGGATGCTTGGAGGGACAGCCTCCCCTCGCCCCAAAGGGGTAACGATGGATTCTTGCCTCGATCATGTCGCGGCAGCTCCCCATTCAACTGTTCTCGTGAGACAAGTTGAGCCAACCCCAGTATCCTCAATCGCTGTGATAGTTTGGTCTTGGGACGTTTCCTCCTCCCCCTCGACTTGCTCATTGTCATCCTTGGAATCACTTCGTCTAGAGGATTCACCCCCGAACGATCCCATAGAACCTGAGCTCTCTGTCCCTACTGAGTTGCTTTCCTCAGGAGTAGGAAGAGCTTCGATTGCCTTCTCAACCATGTCCCTTAACTCCTCGAATGGCTCATGAGGAAGCTTTTGAACCACCGTGTTTAAACCATCCTCGTCACTACCCTCGCTAGCATGACCCTCGCGGCGACTCATAACCTCGCCCCCAGTCTCTCGAACATCAATCGTTTCTGTATCTGCAAGAGGCCGTTATTAGAATTGCAAATTTATATATATTTAATAAAGCCTTAACGCGAGGAGGTTACCTTTATCTGAGGGCGAGTGACTAGAGCTCTGCTCGATCTCGATCACACCCATGGCAGGGTCCGCGGCAGTATTTACTCTACCGGTTTCCTCGTCAAACCTCCTTAGGCCTCGAGCTAGGGGAATAAGTTCTTTCCCCACCCCATGCCGTGAGTGAGTGGGGGGGTTTAGGTCAGAGGAAAGTACGTCCCTCGCGGCCTGATCGAGGTTTTCAAGAACACTAGCGAGAGTGTGAAGAGAATCTTGAGGCACGTCTAAACCGGGAGTCACAGAAGAAGTATAGACACTGCCACTGACTTGAGCGCCCCTACCAGGGTCATCCTCAGGAGGTAAAGAGCGGGACCTCGTACCAGAAGATGCCCCAGCTCGAGCCGGTGGGCGAGGGAGCCCTTCAGGAATCGAGGCCTTGGCAACAACGGCATCACGAGAAGAGCCCTGAAGATAAGAAGAAAGTAGTGTTAAGATCGGTCAGCAGAGAATTTAGATCAAACCATGTCGAGGTAGCTTACCTTAGCTCGCTTGGAAGAAGAAAATGGAGTAATAGTAGGCACGAAGGTGCCAACATCCTGGTCAACCTTACGTTTGGTACGATAAGACTTTGTAACTCGAAGGGCTATAACCGGTGCACGAGTATCCATCAGGACTAAGGGACGAAAGTTAGCTGTATTACATGTCTTGTTTGGACCCTTCTTGTACGCACGAAAGGAAGCATCTCCTCTTAGCAAAGGAGAAGCATGGACGGGCACTGGCTCGCTACAAACAAATCGATTGAAGGCACTAACTATCTCCTTCCAATAAGCCCTCGTCTTCGCACCCCATCGCCCCACTCGCGAGGGAGGAGAGACGCAAAGAATACGTCGAGCCCCTACGAGCTCCCCCCCCCCCCCCCCCCCCGAATCTAGGAAGCGAGTGAAGCCCAACCTGTAAGTAATATGATCCTGACGAGCACTGTAACCATAGCCTCGAGCAAATCCTTGATCTCAACCGAATTGACGAGCCACCCGATAGGGGTTATAGACCTTACCCACTCCCGAGCTTAGAGGAAGGAGAACGGGGAGATAGCCTCCTAAGGACATGGCAAGAATGGTTAAGGCAGGATTGCGCTTTAAAGCTTTACTCGAGATGACCTTGCCATCCTTTGGGGCCCAATGATCCACGCGAGGACCTTGGCTGTAGGGACGAGCTACGAAGCACTTCTCCCTATCAATATACTCGGCGAGTTTCTTTTTTGGATTGTGCTTGTGCCATTGATAGGACCTCTTCGAGCCGCTGTCATAAGGAAGCGCAGTGGGCCGAGAGGCATACCCTGGGAAGTGCTCGTAAAGGAACATCTGAAGAAAGATGGTGTTGATTGGAGACACCACACTCATTCGGCCAACAGAACGCTCAATGTGGACATGGACGAGGTCGAGCTCATGATAGAAGGACCCCAAGAACATTGCAGCTAAGGGAAGACTATGACCCTTAGAAAGTTTAATGGCTAGAAGAGCAAGGTCAGGGCTGGGCCCATCTTCAGGAGGACCTGGGAAGATAAAACGAGAGAGCCAAGTCAATAAGAAGCCAGCAAGATGAAGCTGGTCCAGGCACTTTAGGCCGTTGAAGGCCTTCTCGCCCTCCATTTCCCGAGGTGGGAAATCCCAGAAATAGTAGCGTAGGAGAGAAACAAAGGTACACTTGTTTCCTGTTTTAGGAAAGTTTTCCTGAACACCGCTCTTTTGATAGCGCGTGGCGAGCTTGCCAGCCAAAGTAACGGCACTTCGAAGCTCGATGATTCTCTTGACCTCGATCTCAGAAAGGACCTAAGTGCTTGGATCGGTCTCCCCAAACAAGTTCAGGCACATGAGCTGTACCACATCCTCGAGGGTAGGGGTAAACTCCCCCCAAGCGGTAATAAAAGTATGGGTGTCCTTGCTCCATCGAGATAACAAAAGCGCGAGGCCTGAGCAATCTCGACCAATTGACAGTTTGCGTGTGTTGCGAATGGCGTCCGTTATTTTCGAACTCTTCAAGATTCTGGTAAACTCGGCGTCACTTAAGATAGCGTCCGTCCATAAGTCCCACCCTTGACCGTGACCAGTCTGGCTCGTAAAGATAAGGGGTGAGTGAGAAAAGTCGCCTCGCTTCACTCGGAATCTGAGTATGGAACTCGGGGGGATGGGGACGCCCTCTCGCGCGTAGGGTTCACCCTCAAAGAGAAATGATCCCTCTTGGACTTCGTCCACATCGCTCAACGCGTCGCCACTAAGCCAAAAAGTATTACTCGAGCCAAAATAGGGCGCGACTCGCCATTCAGTTAGAGGAGGGACACTGGGGACATCGTCTCGAATTGATTGGGACATGGTCTACGATTAAATTCAAACAAGTGCAAAGAAAGCTACTTATGCGAGCAAGGGTCTAACGGGAAGAGAGTATGTTCTGTTTTACAAAATATAGACAAGTGTGGTTTAAATAGTAAGGGTATGGTTCCCGAGGCATCACACCCCTGACATACGAAAAGACGCGACGCGAAGCTCGAAGCGTCCAAGCATTTAATACACTAATAAAAAGCTGACACGATGACCAAGGGAGCCAGAACGACACGACCACTCAATAAAAATTACTAATGATTACGAAAAGACGTCTTGGCTTGCTCGAGCTCGTCTTACCCGCAACCTCGAGCAGGGGGGCAAAATGTTGATGAACTCGCCACATCACCTGTCTATGTGGCACCTCCTCGAACAGATGCTTCGTATCACTTGCTTATGTGATCCCACCTGTCTCAATAGGCACACCTGGCCAGAATCTATCTGGCATGTCATCAAGGGGACAAGTAATCCTGGGCTGCTCGTCCCATGACTGGAAATACTGGCGAAGAAGGGGTTACTACCCTTCACTCCTTTAAGGACGTACCCCTCTCCATTCGGATGGGTCCCTCCCCATTGCATTATCCATCGCTCGAGGTCCCTACCTGCAGACGAACCTCGGGCGCGTGATTACCTCTGTCACCTCGAGCTCCCCTCGCCATGAACACGAGGGGACCTCGAAGTCTGGCCACCTCGAATTCCCGACCTGGGATCTGAAGGGAATTCAAGGACCAAGGTCTGTTACCCCGAGCTCCCCTCACTCTGAACTGGCGTGAGTCTCGGGGGGCCATGATTCGAACTAGATCTTGCAAGGTCAAGAAGGCAATACCTTGAGAAGATCCGTTCTTTACCTTCAAAATCGGGAGTCTGAGAAAATGTGGACAGGTGGCTGGGATCCAAGGGTTCGCCTCTCAAAGGTCAACACAAGGGGGAAAGGATACCGATACCCATGGCCGAGCTCTAGATGGGGTTAAAAGAGGTTATTAATTATAAAAGACAGCCGACATGACTAGCATTAATGAGGAAGCACCATTTTCCCTTTAGACTGGGGGGCAAAGCGGCTCTTCCTCTTTGGACTAAAGGGGGGAGGTATCTCCACCTGATGAGCAATGTCCCATCTGTCAGAGGAAGGGGTCCTCGATCCCTCGACAAGAGGGAACTCACCTCTGTAACCGACGGATATTGACCGTTCGGAGGCATTATAAATAAGAAAAGTTAATTAGCCTTAAAGGCAGAGTTAAGAGAATTCCAACTACCAATTACCATCGAGCTCGAACCTACTAGGTATCATCGTACATTGCCTTCCCTTTCTCAATCCCTGAGTTCTAGGGAATCCTTTGTGTTGCTTGGGTCCCCACTTGAATACTGATCTCAACACTCCCAACTCACGTGGAATATAATCCTCGTATCATCCCGAACCACTACCAACAATCTATAACTACATCTGTGATATTTTCATTTTTGAAAAAAAAAATTCCCTTACTTTTTTCAACTTAAAGTAGATGGATAGTCCAATGACTTGATTCATTGTTGGGATTTTTTAATAATAATTTTACTATTCTTTCGTATATTTTTAATGAACATTTATTTGAACTTGGTAGATGTCCACTCTCAACCGTCAGGAAAAGGTGGATGCCCCAGAGTTCTTCTGAATGGACCAATCAAAAGAGATTTCAAATTCATTACATGTTGATTAAGAATTTTGAGGTTCGGATTCCCTTAAATATAATTATTTTGACAGCTGTATTTGGTCTGCTTAGGTTTTCTATTCCTTTCAAAAAGTAGAGGTATACATTAGAACAATTGTGGGTGTGTAAACCTTCCAGAAAAAAATAAAAAACAATAAAACAAATAAAAATAATGGAAGAGTGTTCTTAACGTGTGTGTGTGTTTATATATATATATTTTATTACAGACATGGACTGCCCTGTGAGAAAATGATAGTTGGGGAGAAGATAAAGGTTTGAATTCTTAATCTTCGTACGACGTCCAGTCACTTTCTGTTAATTTGTTTGTTTCTCACCCACTCCACAAGAGAGCCAGCCTATTCACCCACTAAACATTAAAATATATATATATTTCAACCCACAACAAGCAGTATTACTGGTCTGCTTATGCTATCAGGGATTACTACGTCTTTATAACACCACCCATCACTTGCTCCTAACTAAAAATGCTCGCTCGCTTAACTCCTACTGCTCCAGATTTCACATATAAGTTAATATTTTCTCAAGGTTGTTTCATTTTTCATTTTTTAAGATTCTGGTTTCCTTACTGTGGAGTGAATTGGGCAATGTTTTGGGTTTCTTGAAGAAGACAAGACGGCAGTTTTGGGCGGGTTTGGGATGAGGAGGAGGAGGAGGTTTATTGAGAAAGATTTGTAATGAATAGTCAAGCTTTGGGTTTGGCCACACAGGTTATGGTAATGGCAATTGTGATATCTGTGATATTGTTGTTTGTGGGTATTGGAGTTTTGGTGTTAATTCATGTGTGTATTGTTGGGAGTGCACTCAGGAGCGGATTTGGCAACAATACTAGGGCTGAAAGGGGCAGCTTTGGAAGCACAAGCATGTCCCAGGAAGATTTAGAAAAGCTTCCTTGCTTTGATTTCAAACCAAAAGAAAAGGGTAGTAGTAGTCCTGTGGATTGTTGTGCTGTTTGCTTGGACAACTTTAAAATTGGTGACAAGTGCAGATTACTGCCTACCTGCAACCACAGCTTCCATGCTCAGTGTGTGGATTCATGGCTTCTGATGACACCCATTTGTCCGATTTGTCGTGCGAGTGCTGATTCTTGGAAGGGTGATGGCTCAGCTTGGGGCGAGGGAAGTAGCCGTTTCAGTGATAGTGGAATTGAGTTGAGAGACGGCCAAACAACAGAAAACACCCGCTTGAGTGATGTTGGGATTGAGTTGAGAGAGAGCCAAACGACAGAAAACACCCACTTGAGTGATTCTGGAGTTGAACTAAATGAAAACCAAACGGCTTCAGTTGGAGCTCAGTTGAGTTTGAATGCCACTCCTTCACATGTTTCTGTAGAGGAACCAGCTGTGTGAGAGGCTGCTTTTGAAGTCTAAATCTCAGTAATTACTGTTACTCATCATCATGTCTATAACTGGAATAAATATATAGATATTGTTAGTATAAAAATGGATTTATTCATCCCTTTTTGCATGTTCAATTTGGTAGATTTAGCTGTATGGTGCTTCTCTGGCTCTTTCCTGGTCACTTCGATGCATTTTATTTGGAGATAGCTCCATTTGTGTTTGTGATCAGATTACGTTTTCAAACACAAACTGTAGCTTAGGGTTTTGACAGTAAAGATGAATCCTGAACTTGGACAGTTATAATAATAATAAAAAAAAAAAAAACACACATTCTTTGTAGGAATTAACCAACCACGCATTATTGTAAATGATTACTGACAGTTATATTGCGTGCAGTATAAACTTGGAAGGCTTTTTAACTAACTAGTTAAGGCATAATCAATTCGTATCGTATTATGTAATTCCATCTATTTTTTATTTTCACTAATGCAGAGTTCCCATTTGTTTATATATCATAGTCCAAATTTTCTGTTGTCATATTTTATTTGGATGTAATAATTTAAAGAAAATGAAAAAAAAAAAAAAAAAAAAAATTATAGCACGCATTCGGGGTCTATCAGGACAACATTTTTTGGAGGACAATATACGATGTCCTCCAACTGTAAGACTTTTAAAACATTTCAAAAATTTGTAAGACTTTTAAGAGTTCCACGTTTCAAAATTTTAAGTTTTTAAGAAGAACCAACTGTAAGGATTTTAAAACATTACAGCAAAGGACAAGGTGAGGGTGATGTTTGATGGTTGAGGAGATTTTCCTATTTAAATATAACTTCACAATGGAAGGACACTTTCGTCCATTTATCCATAGCTCCGGATATTTTTCGATTTTAAATATAGATGGAAGGACACTTTCGTCAATTTATCATGCAACAAACGGTTCCTCACCCTTTGGCGGTTTACGATTTGTTTGGTAAGTTGGGGTACTCCCGGGGTAAAATGACAAAAATTAATATTACAAGATGTTTTGTGATTTAATCCCTATATTCATTTTTGGTACAATACTTAAAAGAATTCTGTACGACTGCCTAATTTTTTATTTTTTTTAATTACATGTAATAAATATAAGATTGATGTTGTAACTTATAAGATTGAGGAGGGTGCTGTCTCCTCCTGAAGTGCCCTTATAACATGCCTGAATTACGTTTTACAATAAATTATGACACATTTGTCTTCCTACACCAATTATGACACTGGTTACGTGATAATGTGTTTGAATTTGGTTATTAAAGGTTTTGCGGCAATTCCAGACAAGTTCCACTTGTATTAAAGCATGTAGTTATTTAATTTCATTAGATAAAGTCCAACAAAAAATTCTTTACCAAAACCATAAAATTGCAACAGTGGGATACTTGCAAAATTCACGGATAATTAAAATATCTTAATTAAGACATGCCTTTGTTTACAACCATTAGTACTATTCCCATTGCCAAAAAAAAACAAAACACAACAGAGAGTGAGACACTGAAATCCACATATACGAAGATGATGGTACATGAACTTAACTCTTCTGGTTGTTCTCCAGTTCCTTCTTCAGCTGCAGAGAGAAATCATCAGTGACATCATCATCATCCCAGTCATCTTCCCATTGCTGTGTTATTTCTTTTCCCTCGATCTCATCCCACTCTGCCATAGTCAATGCACTAATCAGGTCACAGGACAGCACAACAAATTTCTTACATTTCAAGGAGCAATAATAATAAGGAATCCCTTGTGGAAAAAACAAAAAACATTGGAAGCGCAATACGACCAAGGGCTTAGCCCAAGTGATATCCGCCTTCTAAATGGAAGGTTGAGAGTTCGCCTAAATGGAACAAATGAGTATGTGTGTACGACTTACCTACCAAAGTACAAAAGAAAAGATGAGAATGATAATGCTAAGGGAAAGGTTATGCCAAAATTAATGTGCATCAAGATAGTAAGGAAAGTCACAGTTACATGTGAACTAATCGAAGTTATTCCTTTTGACTAAACAGCATGATGAAACAGATTTAATGGCCGATTCCAAATACTTAACACGATATTGAGTTGAGTCGAACGGAAAAGCATCTCTTTTTGTGAGGCTTCTCCAAGGACTACTCCAATAAAAGGAATTACCCAATAGTAATACAGACCTAATTTATAATATTGCGTAGAAAGTGACTGCTCTGAGATATGAACCTCCATTCTTTAGCTTAACAGCTTGAGTATTTTTTTTATATACTAAGCAATAGATCCATCCCCCAAGAACTGCCAGCATATTTACCATCACATTTTATTTCACGATAAACCCTTAGTATTTATTTATTTATTTTCGAGGCTTGTCATTCCTTTCAAGCAAAACCCCAAACAATTTCATGAAAACATGATTCTGCATCCCTTTCACAGCCTCCATGCAAAACCCCAAACAATTTCATTACTCCATGAAACTTGTAAAGTGGCCCTCCAACCCCAACAAACACCCATCCACCCACACACTCAAAGTCAGAACCACAAATGCACAGACATACAAGCATCTTAGTTAACATCCAAATTATCCATGCAGTATAATCACCAACCAACAGAAAAATTCACAAGCCAGAAAAATAAACACTGCCACAATGTTCCTCAACTAGAAACTTCTCAAATAATATGGCCTTATCACTCTAGTAAAGGAGTTTTACTTTTGCCTCAGTATTTATTAGGCAAAGAAGAATCCAAATCTAAATCATTTACTAAACACGAAACACAAATCACACTACTTAATATTACTTAAAAAACTATGCCAAGAAGGATATTTGATTTATGGAGTAATTTTAATTGCAGGGCATTCTAGTTTCTTTTGCAAAGCTAGAACTTTACAGAGCCCAAATGAATTCAGTAATTTTATTGGTAAGTCAGTAATGTTTGTTTGTGAAGTAAAGATCTTACACTTTTGACTCGGCAATTATTTGGTTCAACAAGTGAAATCACATGTTATTGAACCCAACTCAAACTCCGATCCCCTTCCTTTCCTCTCCTAATGTCGTGGGTGGCAGGAGCGGATGAAGGGAGCATGTCTCCACTGTTTGGTAAAAAAGGAGAGTTAGAGGAAGGGAGAGATTGATGGATGAGCCCTCCCTCCAAAATTAAATGGAATAGAGGATGGAAGAGACGGATAAGTATATATTATATATAAAGTGACATCATTACTTTTCCTCATTTTTGCAAAATTATAAAACGAGGGTAAAGTAGTAAAAAAATATAAAGATATCTTTCCCTTCCCTCTTACCTCTTACCAAACAATATGAAAGGTGTCACCTCCTCTGGATCTTTCCATCTACTTTTTCATCCTTTGTACAAATAACACATAAAAGAAAGAAATGCCTCTAATTATAAAATGGGGGTAAGTGCAAAAAACACCCTTGAATTATACATTTCATAGCACTTTTAGCCCCTATTTAAAAAGGTGTGCAAACAACACCCCTATTCTTTTCAATTTGTGCGAAAACACCCCTCAATTAATATGATACCCATTTTACCCTTTTACTCTTCCAAAAATACCCCTACCAAACCTCCTCCTCCTTCTTCTTGTGTGTGTTTTCTCTTGCTTCCGCTCACTCCCCTTCACTACCTTCATCTTTCTCTCTCGTACAGATGACCCGGTTCCCAAATGTGGTTGCCTTCGTCGCCGAAACCTCCGGCTGGGCTCAAGATGACAAAACAGCAGTCATTGAAGAAGAAGCAGAGGTCAGCTGGGAAAACAGTGATGTGGGTGAGAGTGGCGATTGGGAAAGGCGGAAGCGAAGATGAAGCAGGGGCGGTGGTGGAGGCGGTTGGGGACGCCACAGAGAGCGGCGGAGAAGAAGAGTTTGTGGAGCCACCTAAAGAGGTAAGGTCTTTGTTGGGAACTTGCCATATGATGTTGATGGTGAGAAATTGGCTGAGATTTTCAATCAGGTGGGTGTTGTTGAGATTGCAGAGGTAATGATCTTTGCATTTGATTGTGAAAATTTGTCCTTTTTGGGTTTTGAAGGGATTTTTTATATTTGGGATTTTTTTTTTTTTTTTTTTTTTGTGATGATTTTGGGACTTGAAGGAATTTTTGATATTTGGGTATGTGGTGGTGGTGGTGATGTTTTTTTTTTTTTTCTTCTAGGTTATTTACAATAGGGAAACTGATCGGAGTTGTGGGTTTGCATTCGTGACTATGAATACTGTTGAATAAGCTGTGGATATGTTCCACCGTTTTGTAAGTTTTTTTTTTTTTTTTTTTTCCCACTTACCATTATATATGCATAGATATACACTTTATTGTGAGAAGGTTAGTTGATTAATTTGCGGTTAGTTTTTGTATATTGGAAGGATAGTGCTTGGTGCTTGATAAAGCACACACAATGATGACGCCTACTGGGTCTGCCTTGAGCTTCTCGGTCTCTTGGTTCGTCGCTGCAAGTTGGTCTGAAATCTGAATAGAAGGAAGCCAGCCGGAGATGGATCTCGCCGTCCTCAGGAAGCCATTGTTCAGAGACTGAGCATCAACTACCCAACGGTAGTGACCAAGCTGCTGTATGAAGCTGAACTAGAGCCAACAATTCTCCTAGCCCACCGGAACAGTCTCATAGCTCACCGGACTATATCTCAATGAAATGGAAGCTCACCGTCGTAGCTCGCCGGTTTTAATGGACACTTGAACTAGGCACGTCATCACCGGAGTGGGTCTTGACAACCACCAAGATGATGAAGAAGAAGGGCCAAACCCTTTTTAGTCATTTCACAAAATATGTATTTTTTATATATATTATAAAATGTGTTGCTAAGAGCATTTTAGTCCAATTTTTATAAATAGAACCTATTTGCACAAATGTCATAGTTTAGGGGTGTTTTTTGCACGGGAGGGGTGCAATATGCACTATAAGCATACTATAGGGGTGTTTTTTGCACTTGACCCTTATAAAATGCCTAGAGAAATACGATACCACAAATTAACCAGTTACATAAAAGAATGTGTTATTGTCATTATCAAGATTCATGGCTCCCTGAAATTTGGTCTCAACCTTCTTGTTCCACCACACCTCACTCTTCCTCCCCAAAACAGGCAAACACACAAGGTTAAAAAAAAAAAAAAAAAAAAAAGGCAAACACACTAGTGCAAAAATATCATATTGTTCCAAACATTTCATTGAACGAAAATCAGTGATAGGGTAATTAATTTCATACAGAACAGGTCCATGGATATACGTCTTGCAGTCACACAACCAGATATATTTTGTCAATAAATCTTCAATGCTAAAAGGGGAAAACCCCAAAATCACTATTCCGGATAGCAATTAGGTAAGAATCATATGAATTCCTTGTAAAGGACAGAGTAAAACATCAAGTAATTTTTTTTTTTTTTTTTGACAAGTCAGAGTAAAACATCAAGTATAACACAATTAGCTTCTTTATTCGGAACAAACATTGAATCAACCACATAGATACTAACGCATAAACACCGGAAAACTATATGACCTCAATCAATGATAATGTCCACCGTAGAGCACAATGTTCAGTAAATTAAATCCCCAAACTCAAAGAAAGAGAGACCAAAAAGATACCTTCATTAATCTCAAACTCTTCAAACTCGTCGTCATCTTCGAATAAATCTACCTTTGGATCTTCAGAGGCTACCTTAGGTTCCTTCTCCATCTTCCCAGCTCTCAACGGTACCTGCACTGATCACCAAACAACTAAACAATCAACTATGCATTTCGTTATAGAGAATGAGAGAACAAACATAAATCTCCACAGTAAACCCTAACCGACTTTACTCTCTTATTACACCCTAAGTTTTCAAAACCCAAACCCTAGCTAGTGCAAACCACAAAGGAATGATTGATGACTATATATATACATATACGCAGGCGCACACACCAATATCTGCTGTAATAAAAGAAAATTAGAGTATAATACTAACACTGAAGGAGAATCAGAGAGCGTTCCAATGGTGTTTCGTTGTATACTTGTATGTCCCTTGAATGTATAATATATATCGGTTAAAATTAGGGGTGTAAGGCCTGCCCAGCCAAGCCCAATCCAAACCCAACCTCAACCCGATTTTGTGTTGGGTTGGGCCAACCCGATTTAATCCAAGCCTGTGTCAACACGTGAGACCCAATCCGAATATTCACGGGTGGGGTATACAGGTCAACCCTTTATTTTTTCCTCCTCTTTTTCCATATTTGATTTTTTTTTTTAATTTTAAATATCATTGCAAAGGCAGAATATGTATGCAGTACTGATATTTTTTAGTATTGAAAAGGTAGAGTGTATTACTTACCATTGAAATATAATAAAAACATAATAAGATGACATAAGTACAATAAAAAAAAAATTTAAAGAAAAGGTTCAAAACATGCTTTGCCCACGAACCCGAAAGTAAATATTTTGTAGATTCGGTAGCTTAATCTCTTTCTCCTACCTGTAGTACACATATTCACCACAATTGATACTTAAAAAATATATATATAGCTTAATCTTAACCGTCCAGTATTGCATCTAAAGGTTCTCATCAAACCCTAAAAACATTCGGCCCCTCTTTCTTCTCTCCCAAATAAAAAAATAAATAAAAAGATTTGAAATCTTCAATTTGAGTTTCAAAAATAATTGACCAAATTATTATTATTATTATTATTATTTTCACCACCACCCCCTAAACACACAATTAAAGCCAAATAACATAACCACTTATCTGCATCATTTAATACTCTTCACCATTAATCAATTTATTAAAAAAAATATCACAACCAAATAACACCCTTTGTCTACAACATTTTTTTTTCCATCACCCATTCCCAACCACACCATCACAGCCAAACAACCCAAATTGAAGATAAACAATGGCAGTGGAGGCAGAAGTGGAGAAGGAAGACAGCGGCAGCAGAGGTGGAGGAGGAAAATAGCGGCACGTGGTGGTGGGTTTTTTTTTTTTTGGGAGTGTCCGGTTGAGATTGGGTTAGAACAGTTCTAACCCGAGACCAACCCAAATTGGGCCCAGGTTGAGAATTTTCAACCCAATCCCAACCCACACTTTTAAAAATGCAAGCCCAACCAAAAAAATTTCAGGTTAGGCTGGGCTAACCTGCTCAACTTATACTCCAAGTTAAAATCATAAAACCCCCCTTACAAAATCTATTGACTAATTCTCTCAACTAAAGAAAATATCACATTATCCCCTAATCTTTTTTAAAAACTATCACATCACCCCATTATGTTAAGTGGCCATCTAAAACTAACTGGAGAAAAGCATGTGAGAGTCACGTGCATACTAGTCTGATCATATTGCCCTTTTAATTACATAATGACTAAACTGCCCTAGTAACACTTTTAGTTTGCACGTGTCTTAGTCAAATATGTTGCAGCACTGAACATCCACCAAATCCTTCTTTATTCTTCTTCATCGTCATCCTTTTCCCACTCTCATGGCACATAACACAAAACAACTACAATGCTTGGTCAATAATTGACAAAAAAAATGCTAGTGTTTGATCATTATTTTAAAGCAAAAATAGAAAAATTAGATAGAGAAGGAGAGGGTTTGGATTCAGATGCTGAGAAATTGACGATTCATGATTTGTTGGAGTGGACACAATTGTAGAATGGGAATTCAGACACTGATGGTGACGGTTCCACCACCATTACCACCACCAATTACCTATTTATTCAAAATCAATCATCAACCACGAGTCACATACAATCCCTATAGCAGAACCGATTGACTTCGCTGGATTCGGTCATAGTCGGAGGCAAAATTAACAAGGCAGCAGAGGTACTGGAAAAAGAATATGGAGAACAACAATGCCAGCAACGGCTGATATATCTATGCTTCAAATATTCTTCTATCTCTCTAAACATGCCTATTAGAACCCTAATTTGAGATTTGTCGGCATCGATGGCTGTTTCCTATGCAAAGAAAAGGCCGAATGATTTGTGAGGCAGAGTTGACGGTGTTGCTAGAGGCGTCACTTAGCCAGAACACCGGCAACGGCGAGATCTTCGACATGAAGGTTGTCGTTTTACCCCGATTTCGTTAGTTTGCCGTCTTAAACTAGTGGTGGTTGGTGGTAGCGGTACATGTTGGTGGTGGTTTATTATCTGAAATACATAATTATGGAGGTGTTGGCACCACCGATCGTGGTGGTTGTGCCTTCAATTTTGTAGGTGGTGGTGGAAATAGGGTGGGGATGGTAGCGGTGCTATACGATGCAGAAACAAGAGATTATATATTTATATATATATACTATCATTTAAATGACTCAAATAACCCTTATATAAACCACATAGTATTATATTTTATGGGTATATATGTCTCAAGGGATAAGTTTTCCCATATATATATATATATATATATTATATATAAGTTTTATATCACTTGGACGAAAAGGTGTGAAAAAAAAATCTATTAATGGAAATTTTGATTTTTGTGGTAGGACATAATTGTCATTTAAAAAAATCACATTTAAATTTTAAATTAATATTATACTCTAAAGGTCATTTTTGTCAATTTGTAATAAGTTAACGGTTTTGTCAGTAAAAAGTGACAATATGATAGTTTTTATTAGTTCATGAGGTTTTTTGTTAATTGAGGGGGTTATTTGTCGCTTTTGGAGACAATAGAGGAGTTTTATGATTTGAAAGCATCTCCAAAGGCTCTCCGAATTTGCCACATCAGTATTTTTTACATGCCACGTCAGCATTTCCTATAACACGTCAGCGTTTTAGAGTTTCCAAAGTTTAGTTATCGCATGTACTCTAATGGTGCATTTTTATTCACCAAAAATATTAATATTAAAATATTTTTAAAATTTTTAATAAAATTTATTTTTTAACTTTTCCCTAACGGCTATATTTATTGTATAATATTTTATTTTGAAACAAATAATTAAATTGTTTGTTGATTAAATTATTTAGCCAATATGTATGAAATCTTGTAAACAATACAATATCTAATATTTTTAACAAAAAAAAAAAATACAATATCTAATATCATTTGATTTATTAATTTATACGGAAAACAAAGACTGATTTTTTTTTTTTAATTAAAAAATCATTTTTAAAATAAATTTTAATTTGTTAGGGAAAACAAATAAAAATAAAATTGTTTGGTTAGCCAATATAGCCGTTAAGGCACTGTTTCGATCAGCCAAATAGTACCTAAAACGACTATAATGTCAATAGGAACATGGAAAATTTTAAAAAGGAAAAAAAAATAATTTTTTTAAAAATTTTAAAAATTTTTATTTTTTTTTGCCCAAAAAAGCCTTTTAAGGCACTGTTTGTGTCAGCCAAACAGTGTCTTAAAGGCTCTTTGGTTCAATTATTTTGAGGGAAAAAAAAAAAAAAAAAAGAGAGACCAAAGAAGCCAAAAATCTAAATTTTAGCTATTATTTCAGCCAAATATGCCCTTAGGAACAGTGTTCTGGATTGGTACCGTGTTGGCCTGAATTTAAAAAATAAAAGAAAACAAAAGTGAGCCCACAGAAAGTGTGCCATAATCGCTTTCAGGGTCGCCCTTTTTAGCGACCTGCTTGGCGGCCCAAATTTTGTGGTCCACAAAATCGATAGCCCATTAGAGCAAGTGGTCTCCAAATTTTGGGCCAAATACGCTAAAAGCAGCACCAATGGAGCTGGTCATAGCCCATAATATACATATATCCTTGATATTTTTATTACTCGAAAACCAAAAATTATAGACGTGCTTAATTAATACGAGTAACTTTTTCGTTAGTACTACATATTTCGATATGAATTGAGTTAGTAATGCTATTTTAAAAAATTTCATGTGAAAAATTATGAGAAACTTGACTCCAAAAACGTAGTGAAAATGAAAACAATTTGACTAGTGATTACAAAAATAATTACTAGTGATTACAAAAATAATTATTGAGTATATAAATTTAAATAATTATTAGAGTATTTGATAATTTACCAACCAACAAAATATTTTTTTTAAAAGTACATGTATCGACTTCATAATACACACACCATTTAAATCAGAAGTGCGATTCGAAAACGAAACCCTTAAAGACCCAACCAATACATAAATTATAAAATCCCTTTTAATAATGTGTATTGACCTTTCCGAAAATAATAATTATTATTATAATAATGGGACTAACAATTGTAGCTTAACAGTCGTCCCCATTGGTTAAGGACACCCAACACGTAATGATTTTTTTTTTTTTTTTTCCTTTTGTCATAATTTTTTTTTTTTTTTTTTGGCTGGTTGACGATTTCTTCAACCAATCAGGGCGACTCATAAATACAAACCTCCTGTTCAGAACCCAATTTCAAAGCCACAGATTTGTGATCTAATCTGCTACCAAAAGTTCAAAACAAGAAATTGAAGATTATCCACTTGTCTGATTCGTCAAACCCACCAAGACCCACTATCAAAATCAGTTTTAATGTCTCTCTTTTCCCAAAGCAACTGAACAATATACTATCAATAATCACTTGCTTAATTTAATTCTTTAAAGAAATCAGAACCCAATGCCAGAATCCCCTTTTATGATCCAATGCTACCCAAATTAATGCACCAACCCAATCACTATAATCGTCATATCTTCCCCTTGCTCAGGTCCACCACTAATGTCAGAAGAACATGTTTGGATCCTATCTTCTAGAAGAGAGGTCCGAGTTCATCCACAGATGATAAACTGTCATGCCACAGTTTATGTTATCAGCGATCTGTTGTATGGTATTATTATTAAAAGGGAAAAACAACATTTGATTTATCAAAAATAACATTAAAACGAGATAAAAGAATTCACATTGATTATCATTTTTTACTCTACTAGTAAATTTACATAAACTTTCATACAAGGAGAGACCCACTCACCTCTCATTAGGTCCCAACTCACCTTCATTAGCCTCCTTTCTTCCTTTTTTTCTGATTGTTTATCTCCTGTACAAATTAAACATCTTCTCCTTCTACAGAGAAATCGGGCTCATCCGGCTTAAAGAACTTGGGCAACTTTAGGCTGGAAGAACCAGCATCAGCCCCGTGAAACTTCTGCTTTAACCCTCTTCTTGTATTTGCAGCGAACTTTGAAGCCAAAATTGTAGCTCCAAGATGCTGAAAACGAGTTGCATTATCCATCGATGAACTCTCACCACTCCCATCATAGTAATTTCCATCAGTTGCCTCATCACTGTAGTCACTTTCCCCATCAGAGATTGGCATGTAGGGATGCTCGTGTAGAGCCAACTCCTTTACCAGCTTTCTCTTTCTGTACCTTCTCCATGCAGCTTGAATAAAGCAAGCACCCCATGTCCTCCACTGGTGAGAATAGTACCTGAATGCATGCTGGAGCTTCTTGCTGTGCAGACGCTTAAACTGATTCGCAAAAAATTTGAGGTCTTCAGCTTGAAGGGCGAAACCTTCAACTTCAGAAAGCGTTCTGACAGTTCGAGTTGAAGAAGGCAGGTTTAGACTTGAATTAGGCATCAAGGCCCATGTCAGTAATTCCTCGCCACAGAAGTCACCAGGTTCGAGGATAATGGAATTGAAGAATCCAGACCTTCCTCCATTGGTTGTGGAACTTTCCAGTTGTCCCCTAATAATAAACAGCATCTCATTTACTGGATCACCTTCTCGAACAATGTAGGTGCCTTGTGTACTCAAGGATGAGACAAGGCGTTCACATATGGCATCAAGAAGCTGTTCATCCATTTGTGAGAAGAATGGGACCTATAGAGTGGGAGAACATGAATTTCAAATGAGAAATAAAAAATAAAACTGTTTTCTGACATCTACAAACAGGAATGAAGTGCAACTCAAAATGCAGAAAGAAAACTGCTTCATAACATCTAAAAAAAAAAAAAATCAAAAATAAAAGAAAAACTCTATATGTCCAAATCTGATACTTTCAGATATATCTTAGAACAGCTGTCCCGCGGATGATCAACAAGGACCTGAGGCTGATACGTAATTTATTATTTATTAAAGATTTTACTATTGTGTAAAATATCTTCCATATCCTCAATAGATTCTTGATATTTCTCTAAAAATTTATTTGAGTTTTTATTTTCGTGAATAATTATAATACTACTATTGATTCTAGATGCCTGTCAGAATCCTATAATTAGTTAATAACGTGACGCCCTCGGTAGATTCAACACTGAAAGGAGCAAAACAGAGAGCTTTTTCATCAACCAACTACAAATATCCCCAAGTATAGCTAGAACATATTCATCACTTTTTTGTTAGACTTGGCAAGAAACTCATGCACCCATTTGCTCTAATGGGAACTTGAAACCCTCACCTTCCACTTTGGGAGGTAGAGGAAATACAACTAGGCTACAGCCCTAGGCGGTGATCATCTCTATAATTCTCACAGATAAAGAATAAATTAGTGTTACACTTACTTAGATCACTACTTTAAAACACTTGATACTAACTTAAAATTCTAATGTCCAAAAAGTAAAAGGAAACATAAGGTAATGCAAACAAAGAACATGAAATTAAGAAGGGAGGGGAGGGAGACCTCAAAATTAGGTTTCTGGTAGTCCAATAAATTTATTTACATGGAAGTCTAATCATTTTAGTAGACGTACATGTCTGCCAATTGCATTTCACACAACTAACAGTACTAAAAAGTAAAACCACAAAAAATATACTCAAATTTAAGTTCTATAGGCCGTAAGCATATCCTTAATGTATATCTATAAGCATATCAAACATAAGTATACCCAAAGAAACGTACACGGCGAACAAGCTTTAGACATAGATGCCTTTGAATTTCACGACGGAGATCCAAGGGTAAGGACTGCAAAATAGATTCTTCATCAACTCCTCTTGTGGCGAACCACTTATATTGAACAAAACGCCGAACACGTTCTTGCAATTCCAGAGGTAATTGACGGTGCTTCATCCATTCCTCGGTGTCTCTTCGCTTGATCCTCCATTGTTCAATTCTCAACGACATAGATTGCAAATATTTCTTCAGATAGAAAGGGGGCAAAATCAGTATCAGCATTTGAAACTATTGATAAGATTTTCAAAGGCTATGAATAGTGTTGTCACGTACTAACCCATCATAAATTTGAAAGAGATAATCAATGAATCCTTTGCTAACTATTTGCAAAAATTCTCTTTTTTGGTTGAATTCATTGTTAATACTTTTATTTATATATCAGAGATATATTGAAATGTATGATACAGTAATAACCTCCAATGAATGAGTTCTTTCGCATTTATCAATTAACGTCATAATGTATTGACCATTACAATGTTATTATCAATTTCTAAATCCTCGCATGCAATATCAAATGAAATCTTCAAAAGCAAACTAAAGAAAATGCAATACCATGTCTTTATTTATGCTCAAAAGACATAATTCTTGACTGTTTATGTAGCTAGTTACATCCATATTCGAACCTGTAATTAGATCTCTTAGATTTGATCATGTTAGTTGACTACAACAAAAAAAGACACAAAGTTTTTCCATTCACCATAGTACAACTTAACTCAATTCAAGAAAGCCATTTTCCCAGTTGCCTACATGAATCTTCTTTTACAATTCCACTCTATCCAAGGCCATAGCATCAGTTAACCTAATAAATCTTTGACACTTTCATTATATATCATGGACACTTTCCTTTGGATCATTCAGTGTTTGTGAGTGGAGTAGGTACTTTTAGGCTTCCATAATATATATTTATTCTCTAAGAAAAATAGCTACTGAATCACTTCTAACTTTTGCTCAAAGTTTTCAATTTTCTTGTAATATTATAATCTCTCTCTCTTTTTTTTTTTTTTTTTTTTTTTCAGAAAGGAAGTAATTTCTCACAAACTTGCACCTAGTTTCACATAACTAAATGAATTTTTTCAGGGTCAATTGCTGGTGCTTGCTCTTTAACAACGTTGCTTTCCAAATTGGTGGCAGTACCATTTTACTTTAGAATAAACAACTCAGTTAGCTATCATGAACACTTCCCTCTAAAACATAAAGTCTTCTTGACCGGTGTGGTCCCACAGTCTTAGTTTTACGCTTTCACAATATTTTATTTCTTCTCTGGCTAAGCATAGTTACCACATCAGTTTACTTCTAGATCAAATGGCAAATCAAACTCACAATTTCCTTCTAATTTTTGTTCTTTCCATTATTCAGAAAAAAAAAAAAAAAAAAGTGATTTCTCACAAATTTTACGCACAGTTTCACTTTAGATTAATAACAATTTTCAAGGTCAACTGCTGGCAGGCTTTTTAGACAATGCTAGTATCCAAATAGGCAGACTGTGGACATGCAAGGATATATGTCATATTGAGAAGTGTTCTAGAGGCAAAAAATTATCAGTTGCATATCATTTCAAAATATCTACTATCACACCAGCACTATCAACCTAAACAGATAATGATGATGATAATTCAAATGGAGGCTGGAAATATTACCTGCATCTGGCCTATCAACTGTGCGAATAGAATCAAACCCACAATGCATATGCAAATGCAAAATACTGTCTCTCCAAGATAAGTGCTTGTATTTATATTCTGTCCATATGAACTGCCAGACAGGTTATAAAGTTTCTTTTAGCATGAATACCAGATGAAGAATTTCGAACATAACCACCAATTATCAAACAACATTATTCATCAATAAGCAATAGATAAGAGAATAATACATCTAATATGATACCATCATCATCATCATCATCCTAGCCTTTATCCCATATGTTATAGTACACTAAAAAGGAATGTGTGGCTGCATCTAAAATGGTCAAAGCATGTGATCTTAGTTTATGTAGCTATTCTATAACAATGAAACAGATGGAGAACATTTTGAGTCTCAAGTTTGGACTGCAAAGGACATCGCTCTTCATCGAAATAGCAAGCAACACAATTTGTTATGCGTATGACATTTTACAGATCTTTAGGATAAAACAGACCAATGCAGATCAACTGAACACTCAACAAAAAATAATTAATTATGCACTTCCCAAGGGCCAACTGTCCCATGAAAGCCATAACTATACTGATAACGGAAACTATGTCATTGACATCATTTCATTGTCAAGGTACTTCTGACAATGCCTTATAAAGATTTAACTTGGACAGCATATATGCCCGTGTTACCACATATGAATAAAAATATAGCACATCTTCACATAGAATAGAGTAAAACTGATACAGTCCAACCTAGAAACTAGACCAATATTTCTACAAGGGACCCTCTGGTAATATGTTGCATGTAATAGCCTGAGCTGTGGCCTAACATAGAGTAACTGTGAACTAAGACAAGGGAAAAAAAAATCCAGAATGGGAGAAATCCCACCAACAGGCCAGTGGCCTAGCAGTATCAGCCTCTTACCTCCCAAAGGGAGGTAAGGGGTTCAAGTCTCAAAAGAGACAAGTGTGTGTGAGTACCAACTAGGAAAAAAAAAAATTCCAGAATGGGAGAAATCCTACCTTAAATTTCTTAAACCCCACCAAAGGCAATAAAGATACTTCTCAATGAAATGAGATGAAGCAACTTCGCTAGTAAAAGCATCTGCAAACATTCCAAACTTAAAAGTATCACCATTTTTGGCATCACAGTGCTCAACTACTTTTGTGGACTTCAGCCAATTTTCCCGTTTACTTTGTGTCAAACTGCTGCAATCCAGAAAACTCAGAATGCAGGGGGGGTTCTTTGTCTTCTCCTTTGCACACTCCATTCTCCAGCAAGAGTGCTGCCGTGCTATAGATGAGAGATACCATGAAGCTCCTAGCACCTGCAGCAACATTAGATGATGAAAAAAAAAAAAAACTGGTGCTCAGAAGTGCCCCATTCACAATATTACAAATTTTGCACAATCATGCAACTAAAAGTAGAAAAAAAGGCAATCATGTGACCCATAAAATAGTGGAAGGGATATTTTACATGACTGGCCAGCATGTAGAGAAGGAGATTGTATGCAGCTCCAGCCCAAGCGGTCTTAGCAACAACACCAGTAGACTTAACAATCTGCTGATTTAGAGGGAAAATGAGAAATAATCTAGGGACATATTGAATGAGAACAATAAGAGCAAGAGTGTTGTTGGTATGATCAGAGCTGGAATCTTTAGTTGCTGGTATTACAACCCAAATGACAATCTGCAGCACAAGAGGATGGAAGAAGTTGAAATCTGAACCATGAAGCAAACAAAGATGAAAACTGAAAAGCAACATCATACTCAACTTATTATTCCCTGATAATTCACAATCACATACTAGATGATGAAAACATTGAGTATATAATGACAATGCATAAGTAATTTACATACTGATTTTATTCCCTGTTTGCACAAATAACAAAGCATTCCCAATTTCATCAATTACCAAACCGACATGAAGCTAAATCCATTCCCTCATGTCATATAGGAGATAGAATCCTTACTTATGGCGGACAGTCCTTGGTGCTGATTTTGTGCACAAAAGAAAACAACAAAATTGACTTGCAGAATTCCCTAAATTTAAAAATTCTTATCCTCAGTCAATCACATCCTAAATTGTCCAAAAATTATAGGGAATGAAAAAAAAAAAAAAAAGTTCATCAGGATAAAAATTCGTTTTAAACATTTAAAAGCCTCCTAGATTTCCAGATAGAAAAATAGAAGTCCACAATTATCTTTTTTTAGTAGTACATATTAACATTGCAATGTACTACAAATTTTCTCAAGTATCATCGATTTTTTGGTATATAATTTAGGGTTTTGAATTTATCAATTCCCAACAGAGAAAGTAAATAGTAGTAGTAATTGATAAAGGAAAATTGTGTAGAACATAAGAGAAGAGAAGAGAAGTTGCCTGAGGCAAAGGAAGGGTAGCAGCCAGATCGATGATGAAATCCGATTTCAAGTAGCGGATGGCGATCTCACGGGGATTCATGACGAGCTCGCCCTTGCCAAAAACTTTAGAACTGGGGGCGACGAAGGCGGTGCGAAACTTGATGATCATGTGGAGCAGGTAAAAGAGATCTGTTAGGGTTCGGAGAAAAGTGATGCCGACACTGAGACCGGTGTGAGTGGTCATGCAAGCTGTTCCGCCTACATATGGGAGGAAGAAGTAGAGAGGGTCTATGAAGAGAGCGATGAGGGAGGCAATGAGGAAGGTGTAGTTCCATTTGGTGACGATGTCTTCGTTGGGGTCGAGGATTTGGTATCGCCATTGAAAGATAGAGGATATAGATTGGGGCTGCGAAGATGGTCGCCAGCTGGGGCGGAATTGGGACGACGGCTTCGTGAATATGCTATTCATCTTCCATGGCGGATTCCGATGGATTAATCGGATTCCGCTTAGAGAGAGTGTAGAGAGAGATAGAAAAGTGGGTCAGATTAATTATACAAAAAAAAAAAAAAAAAAGTAAGGCTGAAAAAACAAGATATGTAAGGCTGAAAAAACAAGATAATCATGATGATGATTCGATGAAGAAAGAGAATTGCAGAAGGGGAGGAGGTTGAGGTGTGAGAGGGAAGGAAGGCTTCTGGTTTAGGGCTTGGTTTTCGACCGTTGAGATTTTCGCGGGAAACGGGAGAAAGTGCGTGGACTTCGGCTGATGTAAATATGTAATGTAACGGGTGGCATAAAGGGCGCCAAATTAGGGATATTGTAAAAAGTTTTCGGTTCACAAATTGATATAGCGTTAAATTATACTTCTGTAACAAATTAAACGCCACTTGGATAGAATAGAGGTAGTAAGATATTTCAAGTAAAGTGTAATAAATGCTTCTCTTTAGCCTTTTAGATTCGAAAGGTAAAAAATAATAATAATAAAAAAAAAAAATTTATGGTTTTTTTTTTTATGTGCACAAAATCCCTTACCGTTTGTTTTGGTGAGATAAATTGGCATCCAGTGGCGATGGTGTAGGAGGCTCCGTGACTGCAACAGGCCTGACTTGCTTCTTGAGTTCATTAATCTCATTCTGTGTGGTGCGAACTCGGCGCCATTGTCAACCCGCCAACATTGTGTAGACAAACAAGCCACCCGTGATGATGGGTGAATAAGAGCAAATGTTATTACTTCAAGAATTCCAAAGTCACCAACAGCAAATGCATCCTATATATTCAATAATTACCATTCAATTAAAACCCAAATTATATAAAAGAAGAAATTAACAATTAAAAGCAGCAGCTATTAATTAATTTAAGTCGATCAATGAAATATTTATAAATTAAGTAGGAATTAATACTTGGATTGTGAGTGTTATACCTCACATTACATATAGAACAGAATAGACTTGCCTTTGAATTCAGACAGAAGGGTAATGTGAGTGGTGCAAGGGGAAGAGGAGCTGATTTGATATGCGAATAGTTTGATTTCGGAGTTTTTGTGGATTATATGAATAAGAAAAAGACGACTCGTCGAAGGAGACATATCGTCGTCGTTTAATTGGGTTGGACAAAACTGGGAGGAACAGAAACATGCAAGAACACGAGTACAGAAAATGAGAAATATAGTTGGTTTGAGAATTCAGGCCTGTTGCAGTCATGGAGCCTCCTACACCATCGCCACTGATGCCAAGATATAGGAGGGCAATTTTGGAATTTTCGTAAAAAGATTGGCCAAAATGGATGATTAAGGGGTAATTTGCAAGTTTTGTCCACCAAACAAATAATAATGAGGAGTTTTTTTGCACCTTTTGAATCTAATAAGAATATTTCTTACACTCAACCTAAATTTTAGTACTTCTTTTGTCCTATTTTAAAATGGGACGGATGTTAATCACAGTTTTGAAGGTGCCATTTAAAATAGAACGGAGATAGTAATTATTTAAAATTATGTACTCGAATCATTGTAAATTTGATAGATCAAAGCTTTTGGAAAATGCCTGTCTCAATGTATTTAATGAGCTCTTGACCATGGTCCATGCGAGTATTGAAATTCTGCCCCAGCTTGGTTTGGGGAAAAAAAATTGAGGGAGCCCAATTCCACTAGGGTCTGCATTTCCATATCAGGCCTCCCCATCATCATACCTCACCAGGCTTGACCCCTCCACACTGTGTCAGACGGCCAAGCAAAAATCTACTCCTTCCTGTTCTAAAATTAGGGGTGGCAAAGTTTGATACGGTCAACACGATTCAAATACGACACAAGTTAAACGAGTTTTGATTGACATAAATAAATATGGATCATAAACGGGTTGACATTATTAACCCGTTTAGTTAATCGTGTCGTGTTTAGGTTGAGGGGTTCAAGCCGTGTAATTCGTTTAACTATACGTGTCATAAGTAAATTCCTATTTAAGTTCCAAAATAACTATTAAAACTTGTATCCTATAATTTATTCTTTGGTAAATTAGAGATTATTTAGTAATTTGGTTGGATTGAAACTTAATTTTTTTTAGTATTTAATGTTTGATCGAGTATTATTAATAATTTGAATAATAAAATATTTAATTTTTTAAATTGGTCATTAAACGGGTTACACGTGTAACCTGTTTAATAAACAGGTCAAGTTAGTGTTGAGGGTTCCTAACACATTTATTAAACATGTCGTGTTCAGATTGAGCTGTTTAGTAGAATATCCTTAGATCGACATTACACAATTACGACCCATGAACATGAATTGCCACCCCTATCTATAATTGAAGCCTTCCACCCTACGTTTATGGGCCACAATTGTCGGCCCAATTCAGAAACTTCGTTAATGGGAAATTGGGTTTGTGCCTCTCCACTCATTCAAACTTGGTTAAATTTTGGACAGACCAATATGCACTTAGGTATTTTCATAAAGGATAAATTATTACATGATTCCATACGTATACATCAACATCTTTCAAACTTAAATATTCCTTTTCTAATATTTTTCTTTTCTCAAATTTAATGCATACTTTGTCATTATGTTTTCCACTTTAATTTTAGTCATGAAGTTCATGCCCGAGACCTTTCGTTTTTTTTGGGCTAGGGACATGATAGGCATTAGCAAGTGTGGAATGTTCTTTTCTAAAATTGAAGCCTTCCACCCTACGTTTATGGGCCACAATTGTCGGCCCAATTCAGAAACTTCGTTAATGGGAAATTGGGTTTGTGCCTCTCCACTCATTCAAACTTGGTTAAATTTTGGGCAGACTAATATGCACTACGGTATTTTCATAAAGGATAAACTATTACATGATTTCATACAGATACATCAACATCTTTCAAACTTAAATATTCTTCTTTTCTAATATTTTTCTTTTCTCAAATTTAATGCATGCTTTGTCATTATGTTTTCCACTTTAATTTTAGTCATGAAGTTCATGCCCGAGACCTTTCTTTTTTTTGGGCTAGGGACGTGATAGGCATTAGCAAGTGTGGAATGTTCTTCCATGCAAAGGAAAAACTCAAAAGATATTTTGACAGGAATAGAATATATATATAAATGTATATGTGTATACAGTAATAGAATAATCTGTTACACTGTTGGAGATATAGAGAATCCCATTTGTGTTATGAGTGCTCTTTTAATGTGTTGTCTTCTCCTTTTCTTTTTTTTTTGGTAGGGCATCCAAACACCACTAGTAAATACTCCAGCACATAATAATAATATGAGTTTTTCCTTGTGGTAGGTTGGTCTGACGGGGAACCCATATTGATATGATATCACCTCTTTGTTTCAGCTGTGGGAAATGAAATGGAACATCACTTTCACTAGGGTTTGTCCCCAGTACTTATGCACCAGATGTCCATTTCTTTTTGTGGGTGCCATTGATCGAAGATGCTAAAGAGATTGTGGGTCCTCAAATAGTGAAATATGGATGGGTTTTTGGTTGGGCCAGAATAGTTTTCATGATTTCCTTGCTCAAGGTCATGAGACGTTTAGGGCTCGTTTGGATAATTAGGAAAAAAAAAAAAAAAAAATAGCAATATACTATCATATCCTAATGGGATCCAAATGTCTTTTATATTTTCTGTTTTAAATTTTGTTCTTTAAATTGTTAAGGTTATTTTCAGTGTAATTTCATTTCATAAGCTATCATCGTCTGATAAAAAGGGAAGAAAATTTGATACAAGGTAGAGAAGAATGAATGGATCATCCATCCTATGGAACGGGTAGTCCTTCCCTCTTACTTTGTTAGGAATGAAAGGAAGAGAGAGCTCCATCTCTATGGATAAATCTAATAACTTTGAAGGTGAATATTATAATTTAAAATTTTCATAAAGGTCTTGTTTCTTTTGCGTCCATATTTATTACATAGAATGGATGTTCGATTGAATGGGTTGACCTTCTCGATCGAAGATCGCCGTTTTGCTCCTTTTTTTCATTCTCACTTGCGCTTGAACTTCTCTTTGTTGAGAGCGCAAGCCAGGGAGTAGGTTCTTTCTATTTACTTGCCTGCCTAGCCTTCTAAACCTATTGGCAAGTTAGCGTTGAGGTAATGGACTACTGGCTTCTGAATAATTTTTAATTGGCTATTTATACCAAATACAATAAAGTGAAAGGCTCAACTTCCTTATTTATTGCATAATTGGCCAATTAAAAGAGTAAGTCTAATAATTCACTGCAACTATTCGGTGCAAGAATCTTACAACAAATAAGGAAGTGGAGCCTTCCACTTCGTTGTATTTGGTATAAATAACCAATTAAAAAAATTTCAGTCAGACAATTCACTGCAAGTGTTCGGTGTGAGTATCACTACTCTTATTGGAGGAATAAAAATTTGTTAAATAGAAAGAATGACTCATTCATTCTTTTTTCAATTCCCATTTTGTCTCATCTCTACTAAATAAAGAAAATTAATTTCTTACTTCCTATCTTCCCTCTGCCGTTTCATCTTACTGTTGACGCTAAAATCGGCTCCTAAGATCCGATCTTAAATTGATGTAATGCGGGTGTGCCAGAACCAACTATATGATTCAAGTGTAAATTATCAACTTTAGTCCCTTTGAGTAAGTTGACTTTCAGGTGATTGCGAGGAAAAAAGGGAACAGAAAAACTCCTCTTTTGAGTTCAATAATGCCTTAGTTAAAAGGACTTTATAGTGAATAATTTATTGTAAATAATGAGAGAATAGAAAGGGGAGAGAAATAGATATAGAAAGTGATAGGGAGAAGAGATAAGGAGAAAGAGATACAGAGAGAGAGAGAGAGAAATAAAACGAAATGGAGAAGGAGAAAGATAGATATAGCAATGATGCTATTTGAGGAAAGTGCTTGAGAAAGCAAACAAAATAATAAATTGATTCTGAGGGTGCTAGACCTCTTACAAAGCATGCCTATAGCATTATTTATAGAAAACTACATAAAACAAACTCCTATATGCAAGTATTTTACTTGCATCAAACTCTATCAAATAACTAATTACTAATTTCAAATAAAATCTAATCCTATTGATAACCCAACTAACTATAAGTATAAAATAAACTAATCCTAAAGATAAATATAAATATTTAACTTACATCAATTAAAAGATAAATACTAAAATTATAATTCCTATCCATTAAATAATTCAAATGCTTCAATCTCCTTTGCTCATTTGCCTCTGAATGTAGTTTCTTTAACCTTTTCCACGTGTCAATTCTTACCCAAATTGGTTGCCATGTCATTAATACAAAATTTACCAAAAATGGTGTCAACAATGCCCCCCAATTTCAAATGTTTTATCGGCTGTCGGCCGCCCAAGCCGATAAG